TGTGAGTATTAATCCGCCCTGATAAGCTTGATATACCAGTTCAACTCCTGTCTGATTATGGGTATTAATCTGCCTTATAATTGGGCCGAATACATGTAGCTTTTCGGGGGCTTGATCTCTCCGCTCCATCGCAGTGCAATTGTGAGCGTTGATATGCCCATATAATTGGCGCGAATACATCCGCTGGAAGTGGAAACAGTACCCTTCAAACGATCTATCAGGTAATCCCACTGCCGAAGGGAACGATGTRATTCAGTGAACAACTAGTTGAGCGTTTCTGTTGTTGGCGGGTCGGCTACTTCTCATYCGGAAAGCAACCAATCGAGTCTGTTGTTGACCTCTTCTGTGGTTCAAGCTAATACTCGTGCATTCTCGCCTGCGACGAACCAGTCACTTCACTACTGCAGAACAGCCAACCAACGCCGTTGTTGATCTTAGAATCGGGCAAACCCCTAGGTGCAGGTACACTTGCTGAACAGGCATTTAAGCATACATCACCGATCAAACATGAAAGGAAGTAGGAGGTAGGGCCGAGTCAGCTTGGTCCACCAGGGTACTCACGTGAAGCTTTGATTGGAGGGACTGGACCAGTGCGAATAAAAGTTGCTATTTTATTAATTTTATMTAATGTCAATTCCCAGCAGCTATCTAGCGGGGGCGCCGGAATGAGCTCAGGGAGAGAGAGAGAGATCAGGCGGGATAATGTGAGCTGGGTACTAACGAGCGGGCTGACTGTGAACRTGCAGCAAAGGAGGRCCCTTTTCATTTTTATTTTTATTTTATTGTTTTTGATTTATTCATAAAGTTCCGGACACATTTGCAGAGTACCAGCGCCCTGGACAAAGATCGGAGCAGATCGTTTTAACCATTGGTTGATCGTTTCTAGCAGTAAGGAACAGCAGTGCGCAAGTTAGCGCAAAAAAAGATCGCATGACTGAAGTCACGGTTCACGGAAAAGCCGCTGAACGTCGAGGACCTCTTAACGGGCGCAACGAGTGACAGGCGTTGTAGCCCCTGGCCTCAGCGAACAGTAAGGGCCCCCTCCTCGGGTTTCCTCACACCGGCTCGGGTGGCTCCTTCTCTGGCTCATCCTCTATTGGCTCATACCGGGCCGGCCCGCTCTGGTCCGCTCCCAGCTGTGACGCCCCCCACTGGGACGCGTCGAGATGAGCCTCCAACCTGTCGAGCAACGTCCTCAATGGCACCGTTTCCCCCCCCTCTGGTAACGTCGGCGACGGGCCCCGTAGATCGCTGCTCATAATTCTGCGAAACTCCACCTGCTCGAGTCCATAGGTAGGGTAGCTCGGCCGCCTGAGCTAGCCCCACGGCCTGAACTGGCTCCACCGCCTGGGCGGCCTCCGCTGGCCCCTCTCGCTGTGCCAAGGCCTTTCGGCCCCCTCTGGTCGTAGTGGTCTCTCTCGCCTCTGGGCCCCCTGGCCTCTTACTCCTTTGTCGTCTTTTCACCCTGGGCTGTGGTCTCTTGGGCTCCAGCCGTCGGAATGCCTGTCTCAACTGGGCCTGGCAGTCCTCCCAGTCGTGTGCCCTGTCTCGGATCTGCCTCGCCAACGACCTCTCTGCCCTCCATGTCCAGAGGGGCAGCATCTGCATCCACTCCTCCTGCCCAGTCCCCTGGTCGTGCATATACTGCTCATAGGCCGGGATGAACTCCTCCGCATTGCCTTCCTCCAATCGAATAGGCAATCCATCCGGTCCCATCGGCGAAGCCCTCAGCATCTGCATCCTCGCCTCCACATCCTGCCATGTCAACGCCTCCTCTCGAATGTGCGCAATAGGCTCCTCGAAGCGCCCAACTCCCCTCAGGTGCCGTATGCTCTCCAAGGTAGACCAACCCTCCCGTGTCGCATGTGCCCGGTAGGAGTCCAGAAAAAACTCTACGTTACCGTCGTCGAAGATAGGCGTAGACTCCCTCCCAACCGGTCTGCGCGAGTCATCCCCTCCTGATGCTCCTTGGGGCCCCTGTCGTGGCCGCGCGCCCCTCCCGCCCCTTTGCATGACTGTCTTTGAAAAGTCAGACCTGCACAACAGGCGAGAGAAAGCAAGCAGCCCACAACAAGGTTAACCCTCGGTTCATCAAATTTTTATGACAATACACGTGCCTTTTCCTACTCCCTCACCTGTCCTAACCATACCATGCGATACCTCAAGGACCAGTCTACTCTGAGAAAGGTAGGATTCTTTACCTATTCCCTAGCCACGAACTTCTTCAGCCTTGTCTCCGATACCCAATCCTGCCAGCCTGTCCCGTCCAGCTCCTCGATCTGATAGGCCCCAAACTCGCCGCATCGCAATATCCTATAGGGGCCCAACCATCTCTTGTCAAGCTTCCTCGACCATTGCTTTTCCAAAGAGGAGTCGTACAATAATACGACATCCCCTACTGCCAATTGCTCCTTTCTTACTCGTGCCATCTGATCCCACCTCATCTTATCTTCCATGCGGCTCCTTTCTACCTGACCAGCGGCCTCTCGCAATCTTTCCTCGGTCGCCCCCACTTGCCGCGCCCGAATATCGAGCAGTTTTTCGAAGGACACGTTCACCTCCAAGTCCTGGAGCCTCCACGTTTTCATAAAGCTTTCTATGGGAAAGGTGGCATGCCTCCCGTACCATAGCGTGGCCGGCGCGTAGTTGGTAGTCCTCTTTACAGTAACATTCTCCACGAAGAAATCTGCCCGTAGGAACTTCGACCACTGACCAGGTTTGCCCTCTATTCACTTAGCCAGGAGATTCGTGATGGTACTGTGCCCCCTCTCCACAGGAGCATTCGCTTGAGGGTGTGCGGCCGTAGTATATTTGGCCACTACGCCGTACACTGCAAGCAACGTCCTCCCCTCATTGCAGGTAAACTCTGATCCTCGATCCATCACGAACTCCCTGACAAAAGGGTACCGCAGGTAGTACTCCTTGATGCAGTTCGCCAAAACCGGGTCAGTCTTCGTCCAGATAGCTTGTCCATCCACAAACCCAGTAAGGTTATCCCGTGCATCGAAGATGTAGTTACACCCATTCTCCCCTGCTGGCATGAATAACAGGTCCAGGTGTACGACCGCACCCACTTCCCTTTCTAACCTTCGGTGTAGGGGTTCTCCGGGCCTTTGTGCCGCCCTCTCTTGGCAAGGTATACAGGACCGGCAGTATTTGATAACCATCGTCAGCATCCCGTCCCAATGGTAGAGCTCGCTTATCTTTGCGCACGTGGCACTTACTCCTCTGTGGCCCCCTGCTACACCATCGTGTAGGGCCGCTATGATATCAACTTGCCGGTTTCTCCCACATACGATCCTCCTGGGGTTCCCGACATGCCGCTTTATAAACAAGTGGCCATCTCTTACCACATAGAGGTGCCTCATCTTCTGTGCCTTGGCACTCGCATCTCTATCCCTCATTTCACATGATAGGAGCAACCCCAATTCCTGGTAGATCCCATCGTACTCCTCCGCCCGAAACGCCTCCTTGATTTCTCCTTCCTCGAATTCATCGTCTCGGCTTTCGGGAACCAGAATCTCATTCTCCTCGGTACTGAACGAGCCCTTCCGGTTGAAGTCTCCTTGCAGGAGTGTATTGGTGAGCGGGTACATCCCTCCCATTAGCTGCTCATGCTCCTCTACCTGAGTGGGGCCTTCCTCTATTGTTCTCACTTCCTCCACCAGACAGTGCGTACCTGCCAACGCCAACCTCATCATCCAACCAACATCCTTACTTCCCCACGGATCCTCCTCCTGAAAGGGCTTGAGGACTAACTCTTCCTTCTTCCCGTACCCCTTCGGTGCCAGCCATATAGGGTGACTGACGCAACTGGGCACTCGCAGGGACCATTCGTTTATGTGTAGGTGGACGTCCTCCTCTTGATCCAAAAACCCATCAACTGGCGGCGTGTCTTCTATTGACTCCTCCACCGATCCGTCCCAGTTGATGCAGCTTAGCCCATCTGCCCTGTTCTTGTTCCCTGGGATCCTTTCCAACTCGACATTAAACATCCAAATGTAGGTCAACCATCTTGCGACGGTTGGGTCAGATGGAGTATAATTCTTTAGGGAACAGGCCAGCATAGTAGGGTCCACCCTCAAGATGAGCCTCCTGCCAAAAACATAGTTCCGCAAGGTCCTTAGGCAATGAAGTACCGCCAACGTCTCCTTCTTGAACTGAAAGTAGTTCCTCTCAGTTGTATTGAGTGTACGACTTTCGAACCTTAGTGGCGTCTCCTTCCCTTCAGTATCTGCCTGAATCAGGACTCCTCCCAAGGCAGTTGGCCCAGCCTCCGTCTCAATGACAAATGGTCTTTCCTCCGTGGCCTCATAGTTTGGCGCTCCCAATACCAAGCCTCCTTCCTTAAACTATCCCTTCATCCTACCGACCGCCTCTTCCTGGTCTTCGCCCCAGACCCATTCTTGCTCCTGGCGCACCAACTTCCTTAAATGCTTCGTTTTCGTGGCAAAGTCTTTCACGAAGCTCCTCCAGAATCCGCACGTCCCAAGGAAGCTCCTCACATCTGTTATTGAGCGAAAGGGCACCGTCCACTCGAGAATCTTGTCTGTGTTCCTTACATCAGGCCTTCACCCACTCTCATTACAGACAAAGCCTAAAATCGTGGCCTCCCTCATACAATGCTTCGACTTGGGGCCACTCGCCGTCAGGTTATGCTCCTCTAATAACCTTAGAACCTGATCGATGTCTTTAACATGTTTCCAGACAAAGCACCGCACACTGGGCATCACTTCGTCTTCCTCCTTCTCCTTCGGACCCTTGACCGCCAGGTCATCGATATAGGGCTGGGTGATATATGGGCTGACTGTCTGCATGGCTCTGATCATATGCCTTTGCACCATCGCCATTGCATTCGTCCAACCTTGAGGTGCCACGTTCATATGAATCAGCCCTGTGGGAGTGTGCATTGCCGTTACGGGCCTGTCCGGCGGATATACGGGGAATTGGTCATACCCCGAGTAAAGTCTATAAGCGAGATTATAGGTCTCTCTGCGCACGATTCTGACAATGCGTCCACGTTCGGCAATCCTCCCGCGTCCTGCATTGTCACCGCGTTTAACCGCTGTAAGTTTTGCACCCACCTTAGCGTCCCATTTGGCTTAATAAAACAAAACCAAGGCGACGCGTACGGCCCACTGGAATAATCGGCCACGTGCGTCCGCATCTTGCCGTCCAGGTAGTCCACCACCATCTTTTCCTCGTCCGGATTGGGGTACCGCTCGCCCCTTAGATTCCATGGTTCATGTGGAACCGTGTGAATCCTGATCATCGGGATCCTGTCCACATCCAGCCTGCCACGCTCGCCGTCGTTGAATGCATACACGCGGTGTCTCTTCTTCATCAGCCCCACCACCAATGCTCTCTCATGGGGCGACAGAAAGTCGGGCTCCCCAATTATCAGCTTCCCCTCATTTTCATCGTTGATATGGCCCAGCCCGGCCAACGAGTGCTCCCGCATACGCCGTATCAACCCTCGCTCCCACTCGTAGTAGGCTTCCTCATCCTCTGTGACGAGCATGGGAACTGGGCGACACTTCTTATCTATGGTCTTGTACTGCCTTTGGGAACCCTGCTTAAGCCCTCCCCTAAAAAAGACCGACTTGTCGCTCGGGCCTGGGCCATCGCAGGGCCTCCCCTCCCTCCCGGAAGCAAATACACCAACTCCACCTCTCCCACCTGAGGGTTCTCCAAAACTTGTTCCCTCAATGCCTTAATGGCCTCCGGATCCGCCATGTCGTGAGCCGATACCACCTCCATGGCCTTATTAACATCCGTGAGGCTCAATGTCAGCACCTCAGCCCTATCTTCCTCCTCGGGCACTTCCCAAAGCCGTCTCTGCTCGTTCTCTGATTCCTCGAAGGTGAACGAGCCTAGATTGGGCCTATTCCTCCCGCTCCCCGGCCCCGTGTTCCGGCAGGTGATAACTTCATAATTTCCACACGCCGGGTCGCACAGGAGCAGGATCATCGTCCCATCGTGCTTGTTGAAGATCAACATTTCCGTTCGGCACAGGAACGATCGCCCCAGAAGGATGGGGTGATCGACGTCGGGCATGACGAAGAAGCACGTTCTGGCTCGCACCTTCCCGATCTCTATAATCACGTTTGACGCTGTGCCGCAAAAGGCGGCCTTGCAGTTAGCGCCGTGCAACATGCGGTGGTCCGAGCGGTCGATCTCCATACCTATCATCACCGCCTCCTTTTCCCTGATGATGTTCATCTCCTCGCCCGTGTCCACCATCCCAGTACACTTCTGGTTCCTTATCACCAAATCCACCTGCCCGCATGCCACACATTTCCAATCCATCCTTGTCCCTGCCTTAGTCCACTCCACCTCTCTAGGCAAGACCGTACTCAGATGAACATTTGGCACCAGCCTTCGCGACAGCCGCCCCTTCAACTCACCACGGAGCCTTGGCGCCGACGCCAGGATGTCCTTCAGGTTCATCAAGTCATTATGGTCTTCCAGGAGTTTGTCCACCATCCGCTCCACATCAAAAACCTTCCTCCATCCGGACCGCGTACTTCTTCCTCTTAGGTACGCTGTCGGGTAGGCTTGGCTTGGCCTCCTCCCGGGATTCTCTCTTTTTGGCCCTCAGCTCCGCCCGCTGATCCTCCTCTTGCCGGAGCCTCTCATCCTCTTCCTCGTCATCCTCTTCCTCTTCCTCCGGAACCTCCACCACCTCCTTCCTACGTCAAGGCTCAGGCTCCTTTCGAGAGGGTGCCTGACTGGGCTCTTGACTAGGCCCAGCCTTATTTTGGTTCCTGGTCCGAGCTGCTTGCGGCACCCTCCCATGCGACGTGGGGGGTCTATAGGCCATACCTGACCTAGGGCCCGTCCCTACGGTCGCCACTCTTGGGTACCCCTGTTGTCTTGGCGAAGGCTCAGGTCCGGAGTGGTAGAGGAGGACCTCAGGCAGATTGGCCTTCCACTCTCGGGCTTCTTCACACAGGACTTGCAGCTTCCGCTGGTATCTCCTCACCTTTTCCAGCAGATCTTCCATCCTTCCCAGGAGGAGTGTGGCCGGCTCTCCCTCGTCTTCCTGCCTCTCATCGTCCGATTCGACGACTATTGGTCCCTCTCTTATAGTCCCCGCCTTTAGACGCTGGGTGACCTCCTCGCTATCTCCTACAATCTCCTCAACCTTTATGCCCAACTCTTCTTTCTCCTGCCACATCCTAAACAGGGCCGGGGTTGTCGAAGGCCCTGCCGCCGCTCGCCTAAGAGCTTCTTGCCTGATTTCTCCCAGGGTCCTAGGGTCGATATGCTCTCCCCACTTATCGTATATATCCCCGTCCATACAAGAGGAAATTAGACCTGCCAACTCATTATCTCGCCGTAGAACCATATAGTATGCCCTTCCTCGCTACAATGCCAGCAGGTGGCGTTTCGCCAATCAAAGCGAGGCCTTCCATACCCTTGGCCCCCCTCTTGGCCACCTCGGCCACCTTGGTTCTGACCCCCCTGACCGTTCCAACCACCCCCGCAACCCCCGCCATTTCCTCCTCGGCCTCGGCTGCCACCTCCTCGACCCCCTTGACCTCGGCCTCCATTGCCTTGTCCGCCTTGTCCTAGGTTTCCTCCACAGGCCACACTAGCCTGCGAGGCCTGTTGGGAGGGAGGTGGTTGGGCCACAAACTGACCCTGAGCCGCAGGGTAGCTCGGGGACCCCATACTTGCCGATGGGCCCTTGTAAGGGACCATTTGCCCGGGCTGAGTTTGACTACCCCCGCACGAGGCGCAGTGATTACAACTGGGCCAGGACGTAAGCTGACAATGCGGCACCCAATGCCCACAAGCCGGCGGCGGCCCCATACATGTCGGCCCGGCCGTCGCTGGCGTTGTCGTGGCAGCAGGTGGCGGCGCAACAATTGCTTGCGGAACCTGGCCTTTTCCGGACCCCTGACCCCCCACTTGCAAATTCCGCTGCTTCCTCTAGGCCTTGGTTAGGATCTGGGAGCCCGTCTCTTCTCCACCATAGTCCTCGCGCCTAGCCTCCTCTTCCACTGCCCTCGACGCCCGGCCTTGGGCCACAGTCGCTCCCCTCCCTTGCACTTCCGCCTCGTTATCATATCCCAGTGTTGCAATACGTCCGTGACGATCCTCTTCACCCCTGGGGTCCCGGACTCGGTGGCGTCCCTTTCCTTTCTCTTGCGCCTTTGCAGCCGCACCTGATGCTGCTCCACCTGATCCAGGCTCCCCTCCTCCACCCCTTTGTCGATAGTGGCCCAGGTGAGTTTCTCACTTCCCCGTCCGTGACCCGTCAGCTCCGAGGCCTCCGAGCCGGTAAGCAAACCCAAAAATATGGCACACTACGTTTCTTCAGCGATCCCGTGCACCTTCCGCGCTCTCCTTTTAAACTCGTGCACAAACGCCCCGATCGTGGAGAAGTCATCCTTGTTCATGACCTCCAAATCCGCCGTGGTTAGCAAGCTATCCCCCAACCTGTACTTTCTCTGCATCATGTCCCTGAACCTCGCCCAACTACCATTGGCGCCATCCACGACCTTGCCCACTTCGTGATGGTGGCTATGAAGGACATATCTTAGGACTCGCTGGAGCTTGACCTCGGTCGACAATCCTACCAAGGCTTGCTCCGTCAGGTCCAGCCAGTCGGACACCCTTTCTCCCTTGAAGTGGAAGGTATCAACTTTCGAAATATTGCGCGGCGCTCTCTCGCGCTTATCCAGGGCCTCAACAAGGTCGTCGATCGTTAGAAGCTTTCTCCCGCCGTCCGCCATAGCTTCTGGCATCTTGGGCTGAATGCCCTGAACTCCAGCCTCCGTATTACAAAGACGATGGGATGCAAGGGTTCCTCTCAGCAATCCAATTTCAGCCGATCTTATCGGGCCAACTACTTCTACTCTCGACATTCTAGACCTGGCAAACATTCTTATCCCTGTTCCCCCCTAGGCTCCCCTAAACAGGATTTATCCCCACCATAGGGTATCCTCATACATTTACCTCAATCGCATTATCAATCGTACCGCCAGTCAACCGAGTCATCTATACTTACGACCATTCAAACGACCACACAACCCGTCTCATAGTATTTCCCTTATCCATTCATATGCCTAGTTCTCACTCATCCGTTTCCCCAGATGTCGTTCCACCAGGGACGACGGTAGGCTTCCGTCATCCCCGGCAACGGCGCCACCTGTTGGGCGCATCGGTCCGGCACCGCACATGGCAACGCGGGGCCCTCTCGGCCGTGTCACGCAGGAGTTGGACCAACCTCGACACGAACACGCAAACGGAGCTTCCTTAGGCCGCTCCGACCGAGTGCGCCAGCCATACCTCTCACGAGCCCCTACGACAGGATAGGGCCTACGCGAGGCACAACTTACCTCCACCTTACGGAAGTTCTCACCTCCCTTCGGTGGGCATATCCCTGCCGAGCTACCAGTCCACAGTACGAAAGCTACTCGGTTGCAATCGCAGAGGTGGACCAGCCGAGGGCGTTTTCTCGTTCGCTGTCGCATAGCGGGTACGCGCGGTAATACGCCTATCGGACCCGCACGTGAACCGACATCTAGGGGGGGCTGAAGTCCCAAGCGCGGCTCGACGTCGGTCGACTAGGACGCATCCCACACACCACGCGCACACCACTTTACGAACACAAAAATAAAACACACACACACACGAAACGACACAACACAAACAACGCGACAACGCTCCTAGCCCCTCGGTAACCAACCCATAACTTTCCGACGCGGAAATCGGATAGGCGTCACGCGCGAGGTTTCGTATAAAACTGCGCGGACGCAGGGCTAACTCATATCGACTCGCAATGCAAACGTACGCAAGCAGTCGCAATGATGGCGTACTATGTCGTGTCCATAATCGTGCGGCCCTCGTTGGCCTCGAGGGTCACATTCGACACTCAAGTGTCAGCTGACACGCGCCTTGAGGGTTAATCTCTTGGCGCTAGGCAACCGCCATGGGCGGTTGAAGACCACACCCTCTTCTGCACCCTGTGCAGAGGGGTTGAGTAGACAGCTTTTAAGATGTCGTGGCGGTCGAACATCAAGGGGTTTGACTTTGACGGCCTCCAAGGACTATAACGTCTAACCATGAAGAACGCAAAAAGGAAACTCCCTCCAACCCCCATTAACTGGTGGCCCTCAAAAATAGAAAGGGGGATGGATAAGCCCAAACGACGCGCGCGCGGAGGAGGTCCGGTATTCTATCCCTAGGCTATCCGGCATCCGGAACAATGAGGCTCGTACACGGACTCCCATAGGCTGACCGGGGCCAGTCCTCCGCCCACGTGCCGCTTCACGTTACCCCGATCACAAGTTTACTGGCCGTGTCGCGTTCGTGGTTTCGCTGCCTGACCCATAACTCTTTTAGTGTGGAATGCGGCGAGTGCCCCGCGCGAGCCTAGTATAAGATCGCGAGGGCGCTGGACTTACACATACTATCTAGCTATGCAGTTCTACGCGAGTAACCGCGATGACGGCGCATTATTTAGTGCCCACACCCAAATGGCCTACCCTGAGCCAAGGGATCACCTTTCGACGCTCAGGCGTAGGCTGAAGCGCGAGCCAATGGGGGTAACCCTATAGCGCGCGCAAAACCGGCCTGAGGGTCTTTCCGTCTTCTGCACCCTGAGGTGTCCCAACGGGTGCGGAGCAAGACGGCCCCTAGGGTAGGAGGGAGTTTGGAGCGGTGGTGAGTTGTCTGGCGCATCACCAGCAACACGCTGACCCTTCCGCCCGGAACTTTATCGTTCCACCAAGATAAACTGCAACAAGGAAAATAAACAAGAATTGGCAGAGGATATCCCCTCCCTTCTATTCACCCCAACCTTCGACTGACCCTTAGTACGCGGGTACTTCAGGCCACGCTGACTCCACACGTAGGTACACATGCACTGACACACACACATATATATATATATATATATATATATATATATATATATATATATATATATATATATATATATATATATATAT